TGTGTGTGTGTGTGTGTGTGTGTGTGTGTGTGTGTGTGTGTGTGTGTGTGCCTATGTGAGTGTGTGTGTGTGTGTGTGCGTATGTGTGTGCGTGTTTGTGTGTGCATGTTTGTGTGTTTGTGTTTGTGTGTGCGTGTGCGTGTGTGTGTGTTTGTGGGGGAGGGTGTCTATGTGTGCGCACCTTTTTTTTCTGGTTTTTATGTTTTTTATTTAAAAAATACATATGAACTTAGAAAATAAAAAGAAAATTTGGGGTTGTAGATCTCCGAAAGATCTACAACCCAATATATATATTTTTTTTTCATTTATTTTTTGCCCGCGAAAAAATCTCTGTGAAAAAAAAGAAAAACCCACCCGTATGTTTTTTTTTTTTTTTTTTTTAATATAGTGAGACTTCAAGAAAAAGTAAAAAATATATGGGGTTGTAGATCTCAAAAAGGTCTACCTGAGAAAAAAATATTCCCATGCCCGCTCAAACCCTGCTCAAGGCGCTTCGAGTGCGGAATTGAGCGGCGGTCAAAAACTTGAGTGCCGACCGTGCGCTCAATCAGCGCGTGGTTTCACAGCTCAAGGGGGGGGCTGCTACGAGCCGCCCCCCCCCAGACCATGGCCTCCCCTAGGGAGAGATTAGGGTTTTTTTAACTTTTTTTAACTTTTTAAAATTCATTTTTTTTTTTTAACAGGGCCTTCTGGTCAGTGTGAGAATATTCATATACTCTCAAGGACCATCCTTCTTACACATATTTCATTGCCTTGCAGAGTGCATACCAATTTATCGCCCTCTTCACATTGCAGTTCCGTGGTAAAGACTTCTTGGATCTGGTAATTTCTCTGTTCTGCAGTCCTAAAATTCTTTCCTACTTTCTTTCTTTTTCGCCTCTCCTATTCTGTTTTTTTTACTTCTTTTTTTTTTTGTTTTGGACAAACAAAGGCCCCATCTGTGCTTCCCTTATGTCTATCATGCTCCACTCTATTGTGACATGACATCACCTCTTCCAGATTGTCCACAAGGAAAGAATGAAGGACAATCCTGATAAGGCGAGGGAGATAAGGGAGGGATTTGTAAAAGGGGATTTTATGGAGGGGAAAATTGGCAACAATAGAGGAAAATGCCATTGAGTTTACATGGTGGTCAGCCGTCACGGCCCAGCAGAATCAAGCAACATCAAGGGTGAAGTCAGCATCGAGGAGTCCGAGTGAAAGCGGATAATCAGGGGAGCATAGAGAAGAACTGCTTATCGAATAATAGGGACTAGAAAGAATACTCGGACAAGAGGCCAGCAGGAATGCTTAAACTTTCAGAATAGTTAAGGAAAGAAGGCCATCAATAGAGGGATATGTTATGATCCTGGCCAATTTCGAAGAACACACTCATGTGACAGTACAATGCCATCCAATTGCAAAAAGAAATGAATGAACTTGAGAGGAGAGAATGAAAGAAGAAGAAGAAGAAGATGATGAAAGAAAGAAGAATAAGAAGATGTACACCAGCAAAGACCAATGCTGATTCCCTTCTTCTTCGCCAACCACTCTCCTCCTCCTTTTCTCCTCCCCTCTTATTCAAACAATAAATAATAATAATAATGTTGAATGGCTGAACCAGAACCAATGTCCGGATCCCTCTTCTACTGCAGGTATCATATGATGTCCACCATAGCCATGGCCACCCTTCTTCCTTCCTCCTCGAAGGCCGAGGCTATGGCGGACTACCAGGGCCTTGCCCTGCTGTGCAAAGGACAATACGAAGCAGCTATGGCTGCTCCTGCTCAGGCCGCCATGCCTGACTCTGCCTCGAAGCTTCTTGGTGCAGCTCTATCCCAGCGGGGCCTTCCAGATGCAGCGTCCACCAAGGTGGTGAAGATAGGTACCTCTGGCGCTCTCCCTCTTCCTAGTCCTCGTCTCCGTCCTCCTCCAGCCCGTGCTCCTCCACCATAGCCACGGTGGAGAGCTGGGGGCTCTGTCCTCCCCAGCAGTGCTGCTCCAAGCAGCGTTGCTCCAGCCAGCGCTCCAAGCAGTGTGTCGCCAAACCTGCACACCGAAGAATGAGGAGGAGCAATTCGCTCCTCCTGGAGATATAGCGTCCTGCTTGCCTCTTGGGCGGTGACTTCCTAGGCTGCATGGCCTCCAAGCAACCGGTACCTCCTCCCTTTTGGCGGGAAACATCATTGCAGACTCTGATATTGCTCGTAAAGGCCATATACTCAAACTGGTTGGACTGGTACCCGCCTAGACCTAGCCTACAGCTAATGGGCCTCTAAAAATGTCAACTTTCTTCTTCTTCTACTCGGCCTCGAGTACCCGGCACATCTACCTCTACTTGGTGTGGTACCGGCCTACCTGCTACTCGAGCGTTTTTCCTCTGCTTGTCGCGGGCGTCTTTCCCCGCCACTTGAGTGTTTTCCCCACCGCAACCCCCAATGTCAGACGCACAGATAAGTACCGGCCCGTTGGGCCCCCCACACGGTCAAGTACCCTTGCGGGTCACACACACACTAAAACCTACAAGCACTCAGACAGGCACGTTGACCAGCAAGCACACACACACTCAGACTTAGAAAACTCAGCAACAAGCGGAAAAGTCAGCAAGGCATGCATTCCATTGGCAAAACTCGGAAATCAGTTGTGTCTTAGTCCGTGTTTGGCAGGTCCTTACACTACCCCCCCTCAAGAGTGAGGTCCCTTCGAGCGAGTAACCCATTTTGAGTACCTTACAAACACACCGTGACTCGTAAGCGCATATAGCGAAGGGATTCCGTGAGTACTTGGTGGAAGTGAGTTTTGCAGAGATTTTGGGAACAGCATAGGAAGCTATCTGTCGTTCGTATGCTTTCACAACGCGAGGTGCGCTGCGCAGGAGTTCCGTCTTAGAGACCCAGTAGAGATCATCCAACGGGTGGTACATAAAATGAACCTGATATTATCTGTTACGTCCCTCCCCAATGTGATTTTTGATTCTATCTTATCTCGTGACCGCCATTGATTGCACGAGGGAACATGTTCTCATGATATTTGAAGGTTTTAGCATCACGATATACAAACAACTTTGATGTGTGAAAGACTGGGTACGTCCGCAGATGAGGAGGCACAACAATTACGTATGAAGGACCGAACTTATCATCACCAATCACGTCCAGAACTTCTCACGGACCATAATTGACAGGGAGAAGTTTGCGTGACACCCCCACTTCTTTCAAAAATTCTGACATAGTGACCCAAACATAACTTCCCACTTCGATAGTCGAAGGTGTGCGCTTCTCATTTGCACGATGGATCATGGCGTGTTGTCGCTTGGTCATTGCTGCAATGACAACCTTGAGCAAGCGATCATACTTGGCGTTGAAGCCAAGCTTGCCAGATGTTAGACCAGTCGACTGTTCGGGGAATACGTAGGAGAGTGGATTACGAATCTTCCGACTGTAATGCACCCTATTTGGCGTCCTGTCGGTGGAAGAATGGATGGAGTTGTTGTACAACCCCTTGACCGAGTACAACTCTTCATCCCACGTTTCCTGATCCAGAATGATTGAGGCACGAAGAAGTTGAAACACGGTCTGATTGATTTCCTCAGGCAAACCGTCGGCTTCGGGATGTCGACTACATGTCATCCTCAGTTTGAGGCCAGGGAGTTGGGACGTGAAGTCCTTCCATTCAGTACTTATGAAGCGCGGGTCCCGATCACTCACAAGGGTTTTAGGGTCCCGAACTGCAGAATATACTTTAGGTGGAACTCACGGATCACGAGTTCAGTTGGGGCATGAGGTGGCAATGGAATCAGATTCATAAATTTGGAAAACAATCAACAATCACCATCACTTGCGAATAACTATTCTTACTTGTCTTTCTATGTTTGTGAAGTCGATACAGATGGTCTCCGAGATCGAAGAGGTTTGAGCAGTCCCATGGGCTTTTGCCTCGATGGTTTGATTCGTTGACAGACTTCACACTCAGCCACAAACCTTTCAGCAGATCCTTTCACACCAGGCCAGCCAGATTGTTGTAATAGGTTTCTGTAGGTTTTTGCCATGCCGAAGTGTCCACTTCGACCGTGAGCCAAATCCAAGAAGTGTGTGCGGAGAGGCTTATGGTTGGGTACACACAAGTGGTCATTCTTTCCATAGCGTCGGAAAACCAGTCCTTCCCATTCATGAAAATCAGGCCGACTTCTGAGGTCAGCCCACAACTGCTCAAGGATTGGACTGAGGTCCGCATCCTTGGCAGTTTGCTCTACGACTCCCTCCTTCAGTTTCTTCCGGAGGTTGTAGGAGTTCACAAGGCAAGTCATATAGTCGGGTGGCGAGACAATGCATCAGCAACTCGATTATAACAACCATGGCAACCGCGGACCTGGACCCGGACATGTCTGGACCAAGGACCAGACATTTGTCTGGACTGGTCCAGACATCTGGTAATCCGGACAGTCACCAGACTGTCTCTTATACACATCTAGATGTGTATAAGAGACAGGTGTGGTGCACATGACACGCCACAATTATGATTTCAAGTTTCAACTGATTCTTTGAGAGCTATTTCAGAGGGTGGTGCTCTTAAATAGAATACGATGGGGAAAGCGATGGGTGAGAACTTAAAAGGAATTTTAATATGTTTGCGATCCTACGGAATATGCATGAATTCAGGGACGAAGGTGCAGATTAGCGAAGTGTGCTCAGTCAGTCATGAGCACTAGCATCGTTTGCCGTCTTCCATGCGAACATGCAGCCTCGTAAGATGAAAAGTAACATAGGGATTGACACCCATCATTATAGACACGTGAGGTATAAAGGTGGCCCCACGCCTGCGGTAGATGTACAGCATAATCATATAGAAGACATGTAAGCATCAATGTGATGGCACAAAGCTTGTGCACAAGGGTTCGTCCGGGACAGCAAGTGCACAGAGCTCTAGTGTTGCAAGGCTCTATTCTTTTTTATTCGCAGACGCACAAGATAAACCATGGGCATGATGCAACGAGAGCTGTGATGCATAGAGCGTCATTTCAACATTTCTTGCAGCATCGTGCTGAGCAACCACTGCCTGTATATTATCAATGTCATTAGAGGTACCTCGGAAGGCATGAATCAACCACACGGAAAGCTTAACGAGCAGTAGCAAGCAGGTGATGATATGATCAAGCAAAGATTGACGCAGAATCATATCAAGGCTCACAGCCCAAAATCGCAAAAATTCAGATTGTAAAAGTTTACCAAAAATTCATGCAATCAAGATTCAAGACACATCATATGGTCATATGCAATTCCAGATGGCACAGATAATTTGCATACTGAGGGTGACCATGATGCAATCTGCTCATAAACGATCGAGCGTTGAGGCCTTGCTTGAGATGAGTGTTTTTTTTTTTTTTTTTTTTTTTTTTTTT